GACACCGGCCAAAAAGCAATTTGGGTTGTGGTTGGAGCAATGAAATGCAAAATGTCCACAATTCAGGTTGCTAATGTCTGTTACAGATGGTGCTTCTGTGCTTTGGAGATTTGTATAAATAAGAATCTCAGGCTTTTCTTTTAAGCTTTACCTTCTCCTTGCATGGCTACCTGCTATTGTCAGGGCATCAGTGGAACCAATGGAAAAATTTGCAACCCTATTCTTGCCATGAAGTAATTTCCCCAAAACATTTAGGCCACAACAATCATATTACATTGTTGAACCAAAGGGATATGTAAAAGCTTAAATACAAGAATATTACAAATCAAGCAAGGAGGTTTTCATAATTCCCATTACAGATTATGAATATAGTCTGAAATATATTTTTTTTCTCCCAAGACACTAAAATAAAATTTTGCCAGCAAGATTTCAGAGCCAAGGATACATGGATAAATGGCAAAGGAGACCCTTCTCCACATTCACATTTTCCTTCTGTTGTTAATTAACTCAGTTCTCTTACCCTGAATGAAGGACTGGAATAGAGCACTTGGTGAGGATGCTGCCCACAATGATTGCTTCTCGCAATGTGCATGTTCCAGACTCACACAGAGGGATGAGAATTCCTGAGAGGAAAGGGGTCAGAATTAACATAGCCTCTTCTAATGTAACACACATAAAATTCCCACCAGGAGTTCAAACAAAAACAAAATTCCTATCAGAAGCTCACACTAGCACACCAACTTGAACTTAATTTTTCATGCTTCAAGAACCTGACACTTCAAGAATTGCATTGCTCTTAGATTAACCAATGTCCTTCTACTGACCTTATGGAGTGGACCAGCTACAGGTAATCCTCGAGTTACGAATGTAATGGAGCCTGCCAATTATAACTCAAGGATTCATAGGAGTGAAATCATGTAACTTGAACATGGTCACTCCCTGCTTTCACCCACAGTTTCGCTAATTAAGTGTGCAGGTCAAGTATCTCAGGGTGGCGAAGGCCAGGAGTGGCTTTGTGATGGAACAGGTCACCCAAGGCCTCCCCAACCCATTGAGATACCTCGTGCTTCTCCCCTCCATTCTGCCATGCAGGAATCACTTAAGTTTGCAAAGATCTGTCTCCTCTCCTGCAGTTTCTTTGCTTTTGAGGGAGAGGAGAGGACAATTTCCCTTCCAGTGTCCAGTTGGCTTGCAAATGTTTTTGTGCCAAGAGCAAAAGTTTCTGGGGGCCTTGATCTTGCATGACTTCAGGCACCCATTCTCTGCAAAAATGGATGGTGCCTGAAGTCACACAAGATCAGACAGCAGAATCTACTTTCGGCACAAAAAGCATTTGCAAGCCGACCAGACACTGGAAGGGAAATCGTCCTGATCTCTTATCACTGAAGGCAAATAAACTGGTGCAGAGAGGGGACAGTTCTTTGCAAGGTAAGTGAGTCTAGTGTGGCAGGATGGGAGAGGGAAGCAGTTGTGAGGAACTGGAATGCAGGTGGATAGGATGAATATTGCAGTGCTTCTGCGGTAGTTCCTAAGGGTGAACGACTGCCATGGTACTGCAACATTCATAATTTTGGGACTTTGTTGTAAACACTTGGGAGGGGTTATCGCATAGCTTCGAACGGTCACTAATCTAACTGTTATAACTAGAGAATTACTTGTACAGATCCACTGATCTCCACTTTCTGCTATTAGCTATAGATAATTAGTATGAACAGGGTTAGCCAGCCTTGGTCTCACCTCTACTAATAATTGTCTTTATCAATAATCCTGTTTTAATGTTTTTCAAACACTATGCTACCTCATTATTCTCTTCAAAGTGCATGGTGCTATATAGGATATGGAGAAACCATCTGAATGCCAAAGAGCTTATAATATTTCTCTTCGATTGCAGAGACTTTCGAACTGTAGCTGCAATTTATGCAATTCAAAAAGTTTTGAATGTAACCTAGAGACTTTCAAAAACTGTTTACAAAACTGTTTACAAAACTGTTTCAGAGAGAAAGGATGGGGGTCTTATAATACATGCAGCTGAAGAGTAACCATATGAACTGTATTTAAGTTTACTTATGTTTAACTGTAAATTAAATCACATCAAGTACAGGTAGTCCTCAATTTACAATACTTCATCTAGTGACCATTCAAAGTTACAACGGCATTGAAAAAGCGACTTACCACAATCTACACATTTATGACCCCAGCAGCATCCCCATGATCACATTCAAAATTCACATGCTTAGCAACTAACTTGCATTTATGATGGTTGCAGTGTTCTTGAGTTATGTGATCCGCTTTTGCGAGCTTCTGTCAAGCAAAGTCAATGGGGAAGCCACATTCACTTAGGTCATAAAATGGGGCAACGTTTTTCACTTAGCCACAGAAATTTTGGGCTCAATTGTGGTTGTATGTTGAGGATTACCTATCTCTGATTTCCCTACATCTATTATTGTTTGGAATAACGTATGACCCTCAGACTAGGAAAATTGATGCACCTCCTCTCATTGTAGTCTCTACCAAATTTCAATTTTTCCTGCCATATTGTTCTCGTATTAATCCATGCCAATTTATCTTTAATTACGTATCTGTGCAAAGTCATACTTTTGATTGCTACCTTTGTCTCTTGTAAGACAAAATGCATTATCCTTTAAAGTCTAACTTAAGGTTTTCTATTAGATAAATAGGTAGGTAGGTAGGTAGGTAGGTAGGTAGGTAGGTAGGTAGGTAGGTACGTAGGTAGAATTCTTTATTGGCCAAGTGTGATTGGACACACAAGGAATTTGTCTTTGGTGCATATGCTCTCAGTGTACATAAAAAGAAAAAATACATTCATCAAGAATCATACGATACAACACTTAGTGATCATCATAGGTCACTAATAAGCAATCAAATCATATTAGGAAACAAATAAAACAATATAAATCATAAAGATTCAAGCAACAAGGTTAGTCATATGAGGGAGGAGATAGGTAATAGCAAGGATGAGAATAATAATAGTAATACAGTCTTAGTAAATAGTTTGACAGTGTTGTGGGAATTAGTTGTTTAGCAGTGATGGCATTTGGGAAAAAACTGTCCTTGTGTTTAGTTGTTCTGATGTGCTGTGTGCCCTATTAGATTGCAGAGGGATATCAGAAAGCTGGATCCCACCAACTTCTGCAAAAGAACCCTCATCCATCAGGTTCCTCCTCCTATCCTTTGCTGCTTGGCGGAAGCTATTCTGAGGTTGCTCTGGAGGAAGTCAGCCTCTCCTCTGATCCAGCTGACGACGATTCAGCAACACCAGTTCCTCTTCCCTTTGAACAGTTTCTTTTTCAGCTATTTGGACTCCAAACAGAAAAGGGAGCCCCCATCTCACAAACTCTTTGGAGCTCAGATTACAATCCTAAAGAAATTTGCCTCTCTAAATTTGAATGTCAAATTTTTTTTTTGTTCTTGCTAAAGTGGTGCTTGATACAAAAACAATTAATTTATAGTAGTAGGGGAAGAAATACTGTTTGACAAGTAAAAACAGAACAAAGGCAAACACGTATTTCAGATCAAAATGAAACTTCCAGCTCGCATATCCTATCCCTATTGCCTTTCAAAATAAGTGTATTACAGAACGGTAGCAGTGAAGTGTAAGAGAATAAATCTGAAACAAATGCTCATAAAATGAGAACATTAACAATGTATTTTCTAGCTGATAGCCCAGAAACGAAGAATTGCTTGACAATTTTATATTTTAAATTACCATTCAATTGTAACAAACTCACCTTTGAACCAGGCTCCGGGTTTGAACAAGGCTTTCTTCAGTGCCATATAAAGGTGGAAATTGAGGCGTTTGTATTCAGCAATATCATCTCTGATTCGTGGGAGAAGCACGAGATTGTAGAATCTCTGGGCCATCCTCTCTTTAAGATTAGAAGAAAAAATTCTAGAACAGATAATAAAAGCATGGAAGGAAGGGGAGGAGGTGAAAAAGTAAATATTTCAGCTGGGAAAACTAGATAAGTGAAGATCAACTGTTTTATAATAGAATATAAATATCATTTTAGTATGCTTATAATCTCAATAAACATTTTATACAACTACCAGACTTCAGAGATGTTCACACATCAAAAAGACAAAACCTAAAAAGGCCATATAAAAACCAGACCTTAACATATCTGCATCTCATAAAATTCTCACAAGTATCTTCAACAAGAAAATTAATGTTTGCAGGGGCTTTAATGTTCAGAAGAAGGAATGGGTAAAAGTGATTGATTCGGGAATAGAATTCCAGAGAAAGGTGGCTTTCATCTACTATCACTTTTATAACACAAGCTTGATTTAATGTGTTGAAACTCTGAATGTATCCAGATCAGAAAGGAGCTGCTAGTGAATGAAAACCAGCGTAACAGCATTATTTATAGAAGAATCCCACCTTGTGGCCTGGTACATGGCAGCTGCCGTCCATGTTTCTGGCTCTGTGATATAAAGCATCTGCTCCCAATTCGATAATGCTGGGACAATCTTGAAGGCTTTGGGCAGCTTTCCACTTCTGTATTTTGATAACACCTTTAGCAACATTTTAAAAGTGATTTAATTATATGATAGCAATAGTCAACGTTGCTTAATTACAAACTATATTTATTGTTCATAAAGTCTTTATAGTAGAGAGATATCGGAGATCCTTCCCTGATATCACTATTTTTTTCACATCAGCAATGATTGTGCTAACTAATAAGCTTCATCAAAAACATTTCTAATTAATATTAAAAGCTATAATAAACTGAAGTGCAGCATTAGTTATGAACATCACACGGTTGATGCACTAGGTTTTTTTCCCCAGCAATTAACTCACATTTATTTATATAACATGATATACAAACACATAAGTAGCAAAACACACACTCATTACACTTACTTCTTTGACACCTTTGTAGACTTCCAGGACACGAGGGTTGAGCTGTGGCATGGGTCGGCCAGATATTTCTGACATCACCGTCTCTACCTCCGTCTGTTTTTCTGTTAGCTTCTCCATGATAATGTCTGCTAAGGTGCGCCTAATAGGTGCCAAATGAAGGGTAATGGAGCAGATAACTTATTCATCCCCTTATTAGCTAATTAAGTAGGAGAAACAGCATTAAAGGTGATTCTTAATCTGACTTGTAATAGATCAGAATAAAGTTTCTTAGGTAGTCCTTCACCATCACTTGTCTAGGATTGTTCAGTTCAGAAGATTGTGGTTAAAAACAAGCAACTTGAAAGTGGCGGCATCTTTTATATTATCACTTAATACTCCTGTCCATTTGAAAAATACAAGCTTATTTTCTATATTTATATTATCTATATTATTCCTCTTTTGTTCTCCCATGACAACAAAGCCTTCTTTAGAGTAGATTTAGGGTGCATACAATGGCTGCTGTGGGAAGAAAAGTAACATTGGTCCTACCTAAGGTGTTGCTTTTCAGTGGGTTTCAGGGGGGTCCAGGAATGGGATTATCATTCCTAATCTGCCCAGAAACTGAGTCATAATTGCAGCCACGACTCTCTGACATTCTCTCTCCTTGGCTCCAGTTTCAACAATGTTGCAGCTGTATAGAGTGATCTGTAAAAAGAAAAAAACCCAAACTTCCCCGTAACAGGCCTAACTACAGACCTATAGCCTAGGGAGGGGCCTGGACCCTCCTGCAACCCACTTAGAAGCAATGTGTCAGGTAGGACCAATGTTACTTCTCCAGTGTATGTTGCAGGAGGGTCCAGGAATGGCATGTACCAAAGCTGGTGTCCTAAGGGTGGGGAACTTACTGGTCAGGAGTTCCCGATGCAGTGAGCACCTGTTGAAGCACCCTTCAGTTGAAAGATGCCTCAGAAAGTGTGAACGCATCAAGCCTATAATGCTTTATAAAGAGGAAGCCCAAGTGGTTGCCCTGCAGATGTCCTCAATAGGGGCTTGGGTGGCCCATGCCACTGAAGTCACGGTGCTACTGGTTGAGTGTGCCATAATTCCACTAGGTACCGTGAAACCGAGCCTCATAGGCCCGTGCAATGGAAGCCCTCAGCCAGCAACCTATTGTGGACGGGGTGATCCTTGCTCCCAACGTTGCTACCTGGAAGGAAACAAAGAGAGCCTCCGTTCTCCTGCTAGCTGTTCATTTTATATAGATATGGAGAGCCCTCCTGACGTCTAGCCTATGCCACCTCTGTTTCCTATCATGGGAAGGGTCAGGGCAGAAGTCAGGAAGAATGATCTCCTGAATGCTGTGGAAGGGAGTGTTGACCTTCGGAATGAAGGAAGGGTCAAGTCGGAGGATCACTGTTCTTGGGTGAAAAATGCAAAGGTCTGCCCTGATTGAAAGGGCTCCTAACTCAGAAATGCGTCTAGCCAATGTTATGGCAACTAACAGCACAACCTTAAACGTTGGGAACTGAAGGCTAACACTTCTCAAGGGTTCGAAAGGCTCCCTAGTTAGAGCCTGAAGAACCGTTGGCCAGATCTGAAGTGGAAAATCTATGGATTGCTGAGGGTCAGAGATTGGCCGCGCCCTTTATGAAGCTTTTAATAAATGGGTGCTGAGCCAGTGGCTGACGTCCCTCCTCCAAAAACACAGTGGACAGTTCTGCCACCTGCCTGCGGATGGTGTTGTGGGAGAGGCCCCTATCTAGGCCGTCCTGGAGGAAGTCAAGAATTTGCGGGATAGAGGCCGTTGGTTCAATGTGAGCCACCTGACACCACCTAACAAAGGTAGTCCACGTGGCATTGTAGAGCCTCATAGTGGATCTGGATGCCTCTATTGTCTTGACAACCCTGGAGGAGAAGTTGGCGTTCCTCAGGAGAACCCTCTCATGTGCCAGAAGGTCAACTGGAACCATTGAGGCTCCGGATGGACCAGGACCCCCTGGCACAGGGAGATCTTCTCCCGGGGAATTCTCCATGGAGGGGATATGAAAAGGTTTAGTAGGTCCGCAAACCAGGGCCTCCTTGGCCAATGTGGATCTAGGAGGATTACTTCCGCCCTCTCTGACTCTATCTTTCTCAGGACCCCTGGGATCAGAGGAAGGGGGGGAAAGCATAAAGGAGCCCCCAAAGCCAACAGCTGCGGAGGGCGTCGGTCCCTTCTGCTCCCTGGCTTGTAAACCAGGAAAAAAAATCTTGGGAGCTGAGTGTTCATCTGAGTCGCGAACAGGTCCATCTCCGGATGCCAGAACCTCTGGCAAATCTGTCTGAACGGCTTGGAATGCAGTTGCCACGCGCCGTGGTCCATTGTGGCTCTGCTGAGCCAATCGGCTTGATGATTCGCCAATCCCGAGATGTGCTCTGCCTTGATGAATAGGAGATGCTTCTCCGCCCAGGTGACAGGTCTCTGTGTCTCTATCCATAGGGTCTTCGAATGGGTCCCTCCTTGCCAGTTGACGTGAGCCTTGGCGGCTACATTGTCCATCAAGAGAAGCACATGTCACCCTTCTAGCAACTTCTGGAAGTGGCAGAGTGCCAGATGAGCTGCAACTACCTTGATGGCCTGGATCTCCAATAGATGCTGGATTGCAGTCCTCATGAGGCCCCGTTTCACCTTGTTCCTGGAGACGGGAAAAAGTTCTGAAATGGTTCAGGGGAGGGGAGAGAAACGCCAGCCGGAGTCTGAATCTCACTGTGCTGAGAACCCACAAGTCTGAAGTGATGTTCTCCCATAGATCCACAAAGAGTACAAGGCGACCATCTATGGGAGGACTGGCTCCTAAGTGATTTGTCCTGGTGGAAGGGATGGCTGCCTGCCCCATGAAAGGGCTGCATGCTCTGTGGCTGAAACCTGGGTCTATCACGGGGATAGGATCTATCTGATTGTCTGTCTGAGCGACCTTGGAAATACCGTTGTTGCTGGAAATCATTGTCTGGGGCACGAAAGGAGGGTCTACGAAAGTATGGCAAGGGGTGTTGATCTGGCTGCCTGGTTGCTGTGGGCAATACTTTACGTTTGTCCTTGTTTCTATCCAGCACGGAGCCTAAAGATTCGCCAAATAAGAAACCTCCTGTGAAAGGAGATTTTGCCAGCTTCCATTTTGCTTTGGCATCAGCCTGCCAATTGCGAAGCCATACCAACCTCCTGCATACAACCGAGGTCGAGAGTGCCTTGGACCCATACTTAACAGCATTAAGAGTAGCGTCTGCAGAAAATTGAGTGGCTGCCAGTAATTTACTTAGGTCCTGATGAAGCCGAACATCCTGGGGGGGAATACGCTTCTGTAGTTGGCGCAGCCATAGAAGGGTGGTACGATTGAAAAAGGAGGCCGAAGCAGCCGCCTTGATGGCCCAAGCAGCTGACTGAAAGTTTTTACGAAGAGTCAGCTCGGCTATTTTGTCTTCCTCTTCCAGGTTGTCAGCAATGTCCCCTGTTACTAAAGAGGAAGAAGAGGCCAGAGCCACCAGAGGTGTATCTATGGATGGTAACTGGAGGGTCTGGGAGAAACCCTGTTCCATGTTGTAGAATCTGCGCTCATTCTCCCCAGGATTGGGAAAGGCTCCCAGGTGTGCCCATTGTTTCTTAACTACGTTCAGAAATAATTGGGGAGCTGGTATCTCCTCCTTTTCTTCCAAGGACTCTGAAATGACTCCCTCATCTAGATCTTTGTGACCCATGGTCCCCACAATAGTAGTGGTTCCTACCCCCAATTTGGTAGTGGTTCTCGCCTTGTGAAGGAGAGTCTTGAACAAAGCTGGGGGAAAAACTGCTTTGAAGGCAGGGGGGTCTGAAACCAAGGCCTTATCATCCGAGAGATCAAGATCTCTCTGAGCCTTGTCACCAGTAAGGGATTCCTCGCTAGCCAGAGAAGAAGCAGACCTATGTCTGTAACACCTGTAGCTCAGGTTGAGCTTGGTAACTTTGAGGAGCCCCATGAATGTCCTCTCCTGCTGGAGTTGGTTTTTCTCCTAGCCCCATAACTATTCCATCAAAAATGGCCTGCGATATAAGTAATCTGAAGCTTTCTGGAAGTTTTGCCATGTAGCTATCTGTATTGAGTGGGTCAGCAACTGATTGAGCAGCTTTGGTCCTCCTAGATGAAGCAGTGGGCCTGGAGTGTTGATTCTCCAAACTTAGGGCACTGGAAGAGGTAGATGGGCCTCCTGCATCCTCGGGATCTGCATCCACCATTTTGCATTCCTCTGACCGCCACGCGGTACTCACAGTTCCGCTTGAACTCCAGGTGTGATGCTGGACTGCAGCTGATGTGTGTGCTGCTTCCCTGTAGCCTTTCAACTTCCGTCTGCTGGTGCTCTCGCAAGGCAAAGTTGTAAAAGGCTTCGCTGCGAACCCCGGCTCCACATGGTACAAGATAAGCGGCCTCTGCTGCACCGGTTTCCCGCTGATGCGACTTTGCTGCGAGCCCTGGTTCCACGTGTTCCAAGATAAGTGGCCGCCACTGCACCAGCTTCCCGAAGCTGCTCTCGCCACCCGATCTGCCTGAAGACGTTGAAGGAACAATGAGGCTCTACCTGATGAATAGGCAATCTTGCCTCCACGTCAGAGGTGGGTTCCTACCTATTCGGTCCAGTTTGGCCAAAGAGGTAGTACTATCCTCGGTGGCGGCACCCTCTTGATTTTCTGTTTTGCACATAAGCAGAACAATCTTCATGGAAAAATGTAATTTTTCTCTTTTTTACTGTTGTGCGCATGCACAGACTGTTTTAAATGCAAATGCCCCACCCACTCATGCATCATCTCTGAGGTGGCTTCCCTGCCTCCTCCTGCCTACAGGTAAGTCTCTCTAGCCCTCCCCCCCAACGGAGCTTGCTGCACCCCCCCCACCACCATCCCCACTGGGCTCGCAACCTTCCCTTCCCCCAAATCTTCCAGGATCCCCATCAGTCCCATTTTGGCTCCCAGCAGGCTTCAGGGATGCCTGCTAGGCCCAAAATAGAGCGGAGGGGGGCGTCACACCTATTTTTGGCTCCCAGCAGGCAAAATGAATGGCTAAATTGGCCATGCCCACCCAGTCACACGACTGCCAAGCCACGCCCACAGAACCGGCAGTAAATTTTTTGAAGTCCACCACTGCTTCACTTGAACTCCCTCCGCCAGTGGGAAGGAGCCCTTCAGCGGCTGCTGATGAATGGCAACTCTGTCCGATGCCAGGTGGAGCTTTAAAATGGCTGATGGAGCGTTGCCACCAGTGCTCCAGGCTGGAAGGTGGCTAACGATGAACGGCCACCATATAATAGCGGCTGGTTGAGGTGGAAATGTTGAAAGAAGGTCCAGGAATGGAAGTGTGAGCCAAGGAGAGTCAGAGAGGCGTGGCTACAATTATGACTCAATCTCCGAGCAGATATGGGCATGATAATCCCATTCCTGGACCCTCCTGCAACATTCACTAGAGAACAAGCAATGCATAATGATGAAATGCCGTCACCACTGATAAATATGTTGTACTTTTGAAAATGCCAATTTCAGAGTTTCTCATACATTCACAAAAGTTAAAAATGAATATACCTCAAGTTGCATTCCAAAGTTATGTCAATAAAAATAAATTCTAAGGGAGGTAAACTATATAGTATTTGTGTTGGGTTTCAAATTTGTAAAGATGGTGTATACACACACACACACACACACACACACACACACACAGATATTATTAAAAATAGATCTGAATCTCAAGATTCCAAATGCAATATTCTGTACCCAATAATTAAAGCACCATCTGCTGGTTAAACAACAAGAAGAAAATAAAGTTTTAGAATTATAGAGTACCTTGTTAGCTGAAGCATTGGTTTCACTATCCACTAAGGAATAATGAGGCATTAGTGAGAGAACATCCCCAACCCGTTAAGATTTGCATTTGTATATCCATTACTACTAAAGACTCCTGAACAGGTAATTTTTTCTGAAATAGTCTGAAGCTGCTTAGATCCATTTAGGAGACACTGACATGTGGAGAAACTGTCATTCTGATCCTTACCATTTGAACTGCCATATCTGAATACAATGGAGAAGTTCCTATAGTGGATATGAATAAAATTTTGCTCACAGAATTCCTATGGTAAACATAAACTATAAGAGATTACACTTGTGACCTAAAATCTGCCCATCTCCTGCACTTACTTATATGAGGAATTATAATTAGAACTATTTTCTGTGGCTAAAGGAAAGGTAAAGCCTCTTTAGCCTTGATGAGAACCACTGAATGGTTCTATTTAAGATGGGGCTACTGAAAGATGGACCAGGGCTTGACCAGTGATGGGAAACAAGTGAGTTAGCTGTCTAAACATGTTCAGAATCTTACTTACAGTTGGTAGAAAGATTTAGACAAATCTATCATTTTGAACATTGTAAGACTTGAATGTGAAACAGAATTGTGTATAAATGTATGCTAAAATGTATGGAATGTTATTGACATTTGAAAAAAGAAGTACAAGTGAAAGAACGTTTGATAGAATGGGCTAAAAATCCTGGTTATAATATAGAGCTGGAACAGAAAAAATGTGACCGAAAGGATTTAAATTTACATTATGTTATAATTGGGGGTAGGGGGTGTGGCTCAGCAGTTAAAGATGTTGAGCTTATCAGCTGGAAAGCTGGCAGCCTGGTTTGAGAGCCGAGTGCCATGCAACAGGGTAAGCTCCCATTATTTGCCCCAGCTCCTGTCCACCAAGCAGTTTGAAAGCATGCAAATGCAAGTAAATAGGTATCATTTTGGTGGGAACGTAACACTGTTCCATGCGTCTCAGCATACAGTCATGCTGACCACACGACATGAAAATATCTTCAAATAACACTGGCTCTTTCACCCCCTAGAATCAATATCAACTGGATAGGGTATACCTTTTATAAATTAAATTGGCTTGAAACTCAACATTAAAAAAAAGCCTAAAATCATGACAATCAGTCCCATCACTTTCTTGCAAATATATGGTGACGAAATAGAACCAGTTGGCTTACCTCACTGGTGGGTTCTTGCTCATGAACATATCAATGGCTTTTTCATCATCTGGATTTACAGTCATCTCTTCACAATACTCTTCCTTCTCCATGGCTCCAGCTGCCCCCAGCTCTGGCCATTCATCCTCTGCATCGGAGTCTCCATCCTTTGAAGTAGGTCCTGAAAAAGAAAGAAAAAAATATTTTAAAGGAAGCAACTTTATTTACATTTTTATGTAAATGAGTAAAGTGGGGGAAGGAGTGTCTGTTACATTAGAATGTTCATTAAATCCCAATGGCATTTAATTAATATCTACCTTATCTATTAAATTGAAATGGGATTTTAAACTTGCACATTTTATACAAATCAAGTAAACCACAATCTATTAAATGGAGAGTTTATCAAACCTATATACAATATTCATTAACAGATTATGTGCCATCAAACGTGTGGTGACTGTTGGCACCACATATTATCCATAATGTCTCCCTAACCTGGTCCTTTAAGTCTTATATAGAATGCAACATTACTCAATATCATAAATATGTCACAACAGCAGCTAAAAATCAGCCATGTACTATTAGCTGTTAAAAAAACAATGTTACATCGGCTTCCTGGGAGGAGCCTACTGGTGGAGGCAGCAAAAAATCAGCTGCCTCCGAATTCCTGGCT